GTGTCAGAATATTGTGCAGAACCATTTGTAAAGTAGGTCTGAGCCATCTTTTACTCTGTCAGTTAATGTAGGAAACTCCCCTCTGAGGCCATAGTACAATCTGAGAGAGAGAGAAAGCAGCATAGAAAGACTAGAGTGGAGACCATGGACATTTGGGCCACTTCATGTAAACTTTCTCATGCCTTCAGGGTCTGCTTAAGTATGTATCACATATCTTGATCATCCATTTAATTATGGAGTATTGCTATGCATGTTCAACAGCCTTATAGTGAGAATCACTTATAGGGGCCTGCTAAAGATCCAAACAGTACTCCTGTCTACCAAGGACCCATCCAGTATTATTGTATATGCTGGATCATATGACCCAAGCAGCAAAGAAGCTTAAATAGCAGCCTAGACCTTTTGCAGAGCCTTCTCTTCTGGTGTCCACTCAAAACTAACAGGGTTTTTTGTTTTTTGTTTTGTTTTCTGTTTTTGTTTTTTGGTGGCTCAGTAAATGGGCTGGAGTAACTCACCCAAATGAAGAATAGATTATTTTGTGCCCTTGTTAGATTGTTTTGTACTAGGTTTCGTGCCCTTTTTTGGTTGTAGGAGGAGTCAGATACAACAACTTATCTCTCACCTTTGAAGACATATCTCAGTATACCCTACACCATTGGATCCCCAGAAATTTCACAGAGATAGAAGGCCCTGACTTTTTGTTAGATTTATTTCCCACCCTGTGACATTGAAATTTCTTACCAATAAGTCTAGAGCGGTTGCTACTTCTGGATCAGGAGGTCAAATCAGAATCATGTTGCCAATGTAAAGGATCAATGTGATATCTTTTGGAATGGTAAGATAGTTGAAATCCCTGTAAACTAAATTGTGATGTGGAGCTGGAAAGTTGGAATGCCACTGAGATGAGACAATGAAGGTACATTGCTGACCTTGCTATCTGAAAGCAAACTGCTTCTGGTGGGCCTTATAGATGAAGAGGGTGATCAAAGTATTTACCAGATCTATAGATGCATACCTAGATCCAGTGATGTATTCATTTACTCAATCATTGAAGCCACATCTAGCAGAACAGCTGCAATTGAAGTTGCCACCTGTTCAGCTTAGAACAGTCCACTGTCAATCTTCAAGATTCACTTGTCCTCTCTATAGGCCAAATAAATTAATTGAATGGGGATGCTGAAGGAGGCATTGCCCCTACATCTTCAAGTCCTTGATGGCAGCATTAATCTCTGCTATCCGTCCAGTAACGTAGTATTGGTTTTTTCTTACTATTTTTGTAGATGGAAGCAGTTATCCTGGCTTCTGATTGGCCTTTCCCACCATAATAATCCTCACTCCATAGGTCAGGGAATTAATATGGGATTATTCCAGCTGCTAAGTGTATCTGTTCCAATTATGCATCCTGGAATTGGTAAAATATGCTCAGAAGGCATTTGGGGATACACTGGGCCCACAGTGAGATGGACATGAACTAAAATTCCATTAATATTTGGCTCCCATAGGCCCGGACTCTGCGTAGTGGATCAAAGTGACATTTTAGGTCCCCTGGAATTAGTATCAGTTCAAAGACAGTGTCTACTAGTCCCCAAAAGGGCTGAGTATTTTCTTTTCCTTTTCCCAATACATAGTTTCTCTCATATAGGAGCACAGGTGTCTTTAGGGAAGGGTGAGAGAAAGAGAACAGTATATCATTTTCATAGTGTTCTAGAATCCTTCCTCAAGGAGACCCAGCCTCACCTTCCTTCAAAGGACTCTGTGTTTGTACACTGGATCAAGTCTAGGTTCTCACTGTGAGGTCTGGCCTACAGAAAAGAGAAGTCATAGAGCTCCTAAAGCATGCTGGGGTTTCCCCTCACAAAATTATTACTCAGAGTATTGATGAAATGTCTGTCTTCAAAAATCTCCCTGTGCAGGTGAATATATCTTAAAGGAAAAAAATCTACTTTTAACATTCCAGCCTTCTTAAGCCTTTGAATTCCATCCTCTGCATTAAACCAAGGAAGTTCTGGCATTTCCACTTTACTCACTGAGGGCCACCTTTTGGTCCACGTTTCATCCAACCAACTAACCCAACTGTAAAAAGTATTTTCTGACTTCCCAAGCTGTGACATTATTTTTTAGGATTTATTTTATTTATTTGAAAGGCAGAGTGACAGAAGAGGGAGAGACAATGAGACAGAGAGATTTTCTATCCACTGGTTCACTCCCCAAATGGCTGCCACAACCAGGATTGGGCCAGGCCAAAGCTAGGAGCCAGGAACACCATCTTGGTCTCCCACATGAGTGTCAGATGCCCTAGCACTTGGCCCATTTTCTGCTGCTTTCCCAGGTGCATTAGCAGGGAGCTAGATCAGAAGTGGAGCAGCCAGGAGATGAAGCAGTGCTCTGATATGGGATGCCAGCTTTACAAGCAGTAGCTTAACCTGCTGTGCCTATGCTGCCCCCCACAAGCTGTGACGTTCAATGCAGAATAAATTCAGCCAGATCCAACTTTATGTTCCTTCATCATTACTCCACATCCTTAGTATCCATTCTCACATTTGTTCCCTAGATTTCTATCTATATAATTAGAAAACACAGGTAGTTCTTTTTTTAAAAAAAAGATTTGTTTTATTTATTTGAAAGATGGGGGTACAGAGAGAGATAAAGCCAGAGAGAGGTCTTCCATCCACTGGTTCACTTCCCAAATGACAGCAATGGCCAGAGGTGAGCTGGTCCAAAGCAAGGAGCCAGGAGCTCCTTCCAGATCTCCTACGCAGGTGCAGGGGCCCAAGGACTTGTGCCATCTTCCACTGCTTCCCCAGGCCATAGCAGAGAGCTGGATTGGAAGTGGAGCAGCTGGGACTCAAACCAGTGCCCATATGGGATGCCCATATGGAGCTCTAACCCTCTGTGCCACAGTGTGGGCCCCCAAGTAGTTCTTTTTAAGTGTTGTGCTCTCCCTCTTGGTAACACTTTCTGCCTCACCTTTAGGGGCCTTCTGGGTCTTGAGTCTAATTACAGTCTAGAAGAAAAGAATCCTGAAGAGAACTAGCCTTGTCTTGCTTAGTGGCCTCAAATTTCTCAAGCAATGTGGAATTAATCCCTGCAAGTGTGTGGAGAAGCCAATACCACTGGCAGTGGGAAGGCTGCTTTTACTGATGGTGAATAAGCCTCTTATTCTGACAAAGGCCTGAGCACCAGGAGAACCAGTACTAAATTGTAGCCCAAGTCCAAAGTCTTGAGAACCAGAGGGGTTTATGATGTAAGTTCTAGTCTGGGTAGGAAGGACTGAGAACCTAGAAACCCTGTTGTATGTCCCACACTTAGGGCAGAAAACTGATGTTCTAGATTTTTGCAGTCAGGCAGAGAGATCCTTTCTCTGTCATTTTTGTTCTTTTCCAGCCTTCATTGGGTTGGATGAAGTCCACACACACTGGAGAGCGAAATCTGCTTTTCTCCATCTACCAGTTCAAATGCCAGTTTTCTCCATAACATCCTGTTATAATGTTTATCCAAATATCTGGGCACTCCACGACCCAGTCAACTTGACATAAAATTCACCATCACTCCATACAAAGAGCAGAGTGGTTATCATCCCAAGCAGAAAGAATTGCAAGTACAAGAGGCTAGGAGACGGAGCAAACTTGAGTATTACAAGAGTAGATATGCAGCCAGTGCCACTGGTGTATAGGAGATAGAGAGTGACACAATAAAAAATGGAAGAGATAGGGAGAGGCCAAATGGTACAAACCATGGTAAAAAATAAAATATAAGTATATTTTATTCCAGGGGTTTTGAAAATCCTTTGAGACTTTTAAGTGGAGAGTGATAAGATCTGATTAACATTTTGACAGATCTCCCAATTACCCAATACCTAGTAGGTATTGCAGGGAGGGGGAAGAATTAAAGTAAGGTGATCAATTATACAGCTATTGCAACTGTCTAGATGAGAGATGATGGTAGCTTAAACTATGGCTGTGTCCTTGACAGTATTTTAAAACTATGCTAAAGGCTCTAAAAATGCAGGCCCTCCCTCTTCCTTCTTGATTCAATTATACCCATAACTTTGGTGACATACCCCCCATTGGTAGAAATGAACACAAAACTCTTCTGAATTAGCACTCTATTGTGTTGAATCAGTAATGCATGCTTAATATATACTTTAGATAGAATTATATTAGTTAAAAATATTTAGAATTTTGATTTTATACTTAATGATCACATTATCAATGAACATGGAAAAATGTGTAGGAAAGAAAATGCCTTTCATCTAAGGGAAGGAAGGGAGGAAAGGAAAGAAAAAAGGAAGTAGGGAGGGAGAAAGGTGAAGGGAGGGAGAGGGAAGTGGTTGTTTATATGAGATTTACAGGACAAAAAAAAAAAATACCTGAAGAAGTAAAAAAAGAACTGTGTAGTCAAAACCCTGCCACTTGCTCGCTGTGTGGCCTTGAGCAAATCACTTGATATGGCTCAGATCTTTATTTCCTTTATATGTGAAATGATTAGTTGAACTAATTGTTTTATAAAGTCTATTCTTCGGAATGTTATTTTTTTTCAAGTTGTTATTCTAAGAACCATTCTCTTTTCCTTGTTGTGGGAGTTCTAGTTCATACAATCCAACCTACCTCATACAATCCAAACTCTGGAGACCAGAGATAAATTATGAATAGTTACTTTCAGGTAGGAAAGTTATGCCAAACAAAGATTAGATTATTTCCTAAGATAACTCAAGCAGGTGATAGTATGGTTTGTTTTATAATAAATAATCTTATGCTCAGATATCCAGATATGAAACTTCCCCCCTTCTTTTCATCTCTCAAAAGCTGCTTTTGAGTCTGATTCAATGAGGAAAAATATACATACCACAGTTGTCCCATGTGATTTGCTATTTGCCTGTCAACTTGAGAAGAGTTTAACTGTCTATATTCAGTCCATAACAAATCATCCAGGCAGGCTAGTAAGATGTAAGGTCTCATACTGGACCCTAACAAGTGCTAACCACCTTATTTTTCCTATAGCTGTACGATTCTGTGACCGGTGCCATCTGATCAAGCCAGATCGCTGCCACCACTGCTCTGTCTGTGCCATGTAAGTGACAGCCATATTTCCTCTGGGCTGAGATTGGCCACTGATGGCTGCCTAGACAACAAAATGACTGATCCTAACATGTAACCATGCCTAGATAAGAGCCTTTCCTTTTAAGCGTAATGAGCACATGCCAAACATTCTCATAAGCAATGATGATGATTCAAACTATTATAAACATAGGAAAGAGAAATAAAACCACATTTTAAAAATAAACTTTTATTTTAGAACAAATTTGTATTTATTGTGATGATAGTTCTCGTATGTCCCATATCCAATTTCCTCTCTTGTTAACATGTTACATTAATTAATATGGTACATTTGTTACAATTAATAAACCAATGTTGATATATTATTTTTAATTTAAGTCCATATTTACTTTGGTTTTCCCAGTTTTTCCTTAATGTCCTTTATCTAGTACAGGATCCCATTCAAGATACCACATTACATTTAGTAGTCATGTCACCTTAGCACTTCTTAGCTGTGACAGTTTCTCAGACTTCACTTGTTTATGATGAGCTCGGCAATTTTCAGGATTAATGATCAGGTACTTTGTAGAACCTCTCTCAACTGAGATTTGTTTAATGTTTTTCTCATGATTATTAGACTAGAGTAATGTGATTTGGAGAGGAAGACCACAGAGGTCAAGTCCATTTTTATTACATCGTATCAAAGGTCCAATATAAACATGACTTATCACTGCAATGTTAATCTTGATCATATGACTGAGGTAGTATTTGTGAGGTTTCTTCACTGTAGAGTTATTCTCCTCTACCCTTCTATAGCATACTGTTTGGAAGAAAGTCACTATACCCAGGCCACACTAAAGGAACAGGAAGTTATACTCTCTCTCCATGAAGGGGGAGCATCTACGTACATTATTTAGAATTCTTCTGCGTGGGAGATTTGTCTCTTCTTCTCAATTTATTTATTTATATCAGTATGAAGGCATGGATGTTCATTTTCCTTTTTTTTTTGTTATAACCCAGTACTATGTTATTTTGTTACTCAAATTGTTCCAGCTTTTTAAAACCCCATCTCTGTGTTAATACATGTAATCATTATTCCTTTCTTCCTGAGTGCTTGTTCTACCATATTGCTTTTATCTTTTATTCAAACATAGGTTATAGCCATATGTGTTCTTCTTCATCTTCTTTTTTGAAGATTTATTTATTTGAAAGAGTTACTGAGAGAGAGAGAGAAGAAGAGAGAGAGAGGGAGAGAGAGAGAGAGAGATCTTCCATCTGCTGGTTTACTCCTCAGATGGCCACAACAGTCAGAGCTGAACCAGGCCAAAGCCAGGAGCCAGGAGCTTTATCTGTCTTCAATGGGTAGCAGGGACCCTAGTACTTAGACCATCCTCTGCTGCTTTCCCCAGGCCATTAGGGAGCTGGATCAGAAGCAGAGCAGCCAGGCACAAACTAGCACCCATATGGGATGCAGACGTTGCAGGTGGTGGCTCTACCCACTATGCCATAATGCCAGCCAATATGTTTTCTTCTGTACTTTTATTAAACTGATATTTATTTATTTGAGATACACACACACACACACACACATACGCACAGAGAGAGGGAGGGAGGAAGCACGCATGTACTAGTTCACTCCCCAAATACCCACAACATCTGAGGCTGGGCTGGGGCTGGAGCCAGGATCCAGAAATGCAATCCACGTCTCTCACATGAGTGGCAGAAGCCCAATCACTTGAGCCATCACCACTGCCTCCCAGGATCTGCATTGACTGGAAGCTGGTATCAGGGACAGAGCTGGGATTCAAACCTAGGTACTTTGATGTAGGATGCACTTATCTTAGCCACTAGGCTAAACACTCCTTAAACTGATTACTGAACAAATTGAAAGGAGATTGATCTTGATCTCTCTGTATTAATATCCTGAAGTTCCAAATCCCTTTTAAAATTTGGAGTTCTGGCTGGCGCCGTGGCTCCATAGGCTAATCCTCCGCCTGCGGCACCGGTACACCGGATTCTAGTCCCAGTCGGGGCACTGGATTCTGTCCCTGTTGCTCCTCTTCCAGTCTAGCTCTCTGCTGTGGCCCGGGAAGGCAGTGGAGGATGGCCCAAGTGCTTGGGCCCTGCACCCACATGGGAGACCAGGAGAAGCACCTGGCTCCTGGCTTCGGATCAGCGCGGTGTGCCAGTCGCAGCGCGCCGGCCACAGCAGCCATTGGAGGGTGAACCAACGGTAAAAGGAAGACCTTTCTCTCTGTCTCCCTCTCTCACTGTCCACTCTGCCTGTGAAAAAAAAAATGTTGGAGTTCTAGGCATGTAACTTGCTCCTGGCATGATCTGATAAAATGTTATTGTGATTGTTCATTCCTGAACTGAGGACAATAATTTTGGAGTCACTGTAGTGGAAATCTGGAAATGGGTGTACTGGAACCATGTGAAAATACTGGTGAAACCTTGCATTCAAGTTTTGAGATCTTGCTTCATTTCCATGTCCTCACTTAACATACTTTATTTTGTCCCATTTATAGGTGTGTATTAAAAATGGACCATCACTGCCCTTGGTATGTCCCTTTGATTCACTTCTCTCCTCTAAAAGGGTCAAAGTTATTCAATATATTCACTTTCTTATGCATAGTTGTAACATGCCTATTTCTGCCACCTTAATTCACTGGGCTTTGTATTTGTGTGGGAATGGGGAGGAGTAAACCTTTAAAGCTAGAATAAATACACCATCCCAGGTATTGCAATGAATTCCTGCAGTCACAAAGGTAATGATCTCTTGTCCATTTACTTTAGCAATTGAGCATAATAATGAAAAACAGCACAAGTATTTCTCCTCTTCAAAGACAGGTCGGTTCTATTTCTGCCTGGCTTCACGTTTGATATATTCTAAATTATTAAATTCCGTGATTCTTCTCAAGACTTTGTATGTCAGAACTAGAGAACCACTCTGAATTCACTTGACTGCAGAGAGGACATGCTACAACTTTACCAAGTGTAGCTGCTGAGACTATAATAGGTTTGTAGCAACCATGATCAAGGTTTGCTTGGATGTTTTAGTAATCAGTCCAAAGCTATTAGTTAGGTCACGTGTGCCTATAAATGAATGGAGGAACAAGTGAGGTGTGAACTTGTTTTTCTAGTCTGTTACTGTTAAGGAACTTCTCTCTCTGCTGGGTTTCTACATAACACATAACGAAGCAGCAAGAGTGACTTACTTCCGTGGTTTAGTCCATTTATGTATAAGTGTGTTCTCAATTTGTAGGTCTTGATTTCAAATTAATTATTTGTCTTTTTTAGGGTTAATAACTGCATTGGATTTTCCAACTACAAATTCTTCCTTCAGTTTTTAGCTTATTCTGTTCTCTACTGCCTGTACATTGCCACAACAGTCTTCAGCTATTTCATCAAATACTGGAGAGTAAGTTTTAAAAATCCTGAAGAATACCCCCAGAACAAATGCACACCCACTCCAATCTATGATATTGTTCATTCTCTATATATTTTTACCTTCTGAAATAGCTAATACTGAAGTAATCAGAATGGAAGGTGCTAAAAACAAGTTTTCCATGTTGAGTACATTTTTAGGAAGCTGTTACTTAAAGATTCTAGTTCAATTGGTTTCTGTCATATATGAGAATCTTGTTAAGGGACCTGACATCTCAAATCCTAATGATTCTTTACAATGTACTTCTCCATTCAAGTTTTTTTTAAGATCTACTTCTTGCCAGCTATAGATTTGAAAAAATGTTGAAACTAATTCTAAATCCTCAGTTTCCTAAGAAAAGGCCAACAAAGAACTCCTCTGTTGTTATAAAATACTTTCAAATTTCTTGTTCAGAGGATAACTGCAAAATTCCAACTGATCAGAAAGATATACTGACTCATCTTTGCATATGACCACAATTAAATGGAAGGTCTGTTTTAAACTTTTTATGAAAAACACTGACTTAAGAATGAGGAGAATTGGGATTTAATACTGGTTATTACCTGCTTCACTGGCTTATTGCCAAGAACAAATGAAACAGATGTTTAAACATGCTTTACCTTTCAAAATATGATTCCAGTGATTAAAAGGAACCGTCAAACAAAAAAAAATCCTACTATTGTTTTTCTTCTACTTGAAGATATAAATCATATCTCCTTAATCTCCCCTCTCCAATAAAACTTAAGGCATATTTTTCATTTATATATATATCCACAGTCTTACAGAAGTATAGTGAAATATGTTTTCTTTTCAAGCTAATGGACCCCAGAATCTATTTGTTCCCCACAACTTCAGTACAATTACTAAGACATCCATGATGAGGGCTGTCCAGATTGAACCTGAATAGCAAAAGACAGATGTGGGCAAAGCTACTAGTTATTACTGTAGGAATTGCATAAGAGCCTGTATAACAGGGATGTCTCTCCTCAGCTGGAGCAGTAATAGCAGTAGGGAAACAACATGGATCCTGTGACCAGAATATAGATTAATATAGACTGGCAAAAAAAGATAAAGATAAGGCAGTGAAAACCTAAGTAGCAGAAAATATTTAAATTATCAGTTAGTACTTTGATCCCTATCAGTGTAGAAAATTATAATGATGTGTGTGCTTCCCATTATCCCTTCAATTTGCTTAATCAATGCAGATATTTTAATAACTTTAGGAATCAGGAATTATATAATGGCTATAGAAAGCTGTTCAACTCAGAATAAAAAACAAAACTACAAACAGGGATCATGTTTTCTCATAAATCTTCTCCAAATGCAAAATGCTTTACCATGCCACACATCTTGACATCTCTTACTTGACCCCTTTCCATAGCACAGACTCTGTTGCTCGGGTCTCTGTGACCTGTTTGACATTATTTCCATATGCTAAGCTACTACCCTGAATATAAAGAGAATTGGCTACATCCAGTCAGTAGGGAAAGTATCAGGCTTGGTCTTCACAAACAGACTTTCTTGGTTCTGAACACAGTGGATTGTTTAAGAACCACCCTTTTTCCTCATAATAAAGTAAACAATGCTGCATTTCACACATTTTGCCTTTAGTCCTCCTAGTCAGCCGATAATGAAATACCACAATGCCACCTAGGAGCTGGATGCTTTTTTTTCATTCTTGAAAGATGATATTTGGATACAAGTTAGTCACCAGAAATGTACCAGTACTCACAAGCAATACCAGGGGTGAACATAGCCTTGTCCTCCTATTCCCTCATTTCTTTCCTCCACAGTAGACTAGATCATGCCTGACATATGAGAGGCATGAAAACCTGTCTTGGCTTGCCCTCTTTAATAATAATAAAAAGGGTATCGACAGTTCAAGGGAAAGTTACTCTGCAGTCTCTTCAATCAGTGAACACATGTTAGTGTGTGCTTTAAGGATGGCTTTCTCATTTAAGTTGAGTCTTCCCTTAAAGTCAATAGAAAACACTGTCATGTATTTTAAAAACCATGCATCAGGGAGACAAATTGTGCTCCAAAGAACAACCACCTCCATCTGTATGCTATTTGACAGTTTTTGAAGCATTTTCATATGCATTATCTCATCCAATCCTTATCACAACACTGTGAAGTCAGCAAAGCAGGGTTAATTTATCTCATTCAAAGATGATCAAATTGAGGCTCACAGTAGTTAAGTGACTTGCCCAGGATCACCTACTTGTAAATTTCAAAGTCAAGGCTTGAACTTAAGTCTGACCCTAAGCCGATGGGTCTTACATACTGTTTCATGTCCTAGTGCCTGTAATGTCTCCACTACAGAGAAACTCCAGCTCCTTCAGAACAAAGAACTGAAAAAACCATCAGACCATTTCTCTTCTTTCAGTGTTAACTTAAATAATGACTACTTTGATAGGAGATTGATTTTTGCCTATGGAAAATGTAGTAATACAAGAGATCTTTAAAAAGTTCATGGAAAATGCATATAATGTTGATTGCCAAAAAATCTTGCACCAAAACAAACTTATCTTTTAATTCCATTATTCCACAAAATTTTTGAAGTACCCTTATACATTATCTCCCACTTGGGCCATGAACCTCCTCATAGAATCTATGAATTCCTTTAGAAATAAGATAGTGGTCTTATTCTATTAGTATTCCCCCTAAACGCCTCTGGTGGTTATTACTTTGAGTGATTTAGCTTGATTATCTCCTGAGAAAGTATTTTTGAACCTAGGGCTGTCACTCCCTTCTCACAGAAAAAGTTTAATACTAAAAACTCTATCAAGGGACAACACAGTAGATAGACTGTGGCATAAAAAGAGTTCTGCAAAAATAATTGCAGGGAGGAGGGAGATTCCAGCTGAGCTACATAGAATGTGGACTGACTTTATATCCGTCCCTCTTGTCCAGCCATTTCCTATTGCCCTTTTAAATATGAAAAATAAGAAGTAAAAATAAATGTGAGCTTCAAAATCATACCCAAAAAGTAGAGACTATGAAAGCAAAAGTCCAGTTGAAGGGCCAGTGCTGTGGTGCAGCGGGTTAAAGCCCTGGCCTGAAGCACCAGCATCCCATATAGGCGCCGGTTCTAGTCCTGGCTGCTCCTCTTCCAATCCAGCTCTCTGCTATGGCCTGGAAAAGCAGTGGAGGATGGCCCAAGGACTGCACCCACATGGGAGACCCAGAGGAAACTCCTGGCTCCTGGCTTCAGATCAGCGCAGCTCCGGCCGTTGCAGCCATCTGGGGAGTGAACCAGCAGATGGCAGAACTCTCTCTCTGTCTCTTCCTCTCTCTGTAACTCTGTCTTTCAAATAAATAAAATAAATCTTTAAAATAACTAAATAAATAAAGTCCAGTTGAGGCAAAAACCACTACAAAACACTATATGAGGGTTTCTCATAAATTAAAAATAAAACAAACCAAAACCAATCCTATTCAGTTTGGGTGCATAGGCCAAGATTTTGTAGAGATTTCACTTCAAAAAGGAATGTTTCAAAGATTCCTGCAGGTTGAAGTCTGTAACATGACTATTTCGTGCTTAAGAGTCACCTCTAAATTTACTACTAAAGAACATTTGGAAATATCTCAAATATTCATCAGACCTAAACAATGATCATCACAGAAAAGGAGAAAATAAATAATAGTCATTCCCCCAACTTCTCACTCTAATAATCAAAATGTTTTCTAAAATTCTCTTCAAAAGACAAAAAAAAATGTTACATGCTGTGCATGCTACAGAAATTTAGAGCACTCATTCTGGTTAGGATTGCGTGTAAAAAAAAATCTGGTGCCACATGGAATAAAGATGTCCCCAAAAATTATAAAAATCTTTAGCCACATATTTTTATAATTACCTGTAAGGCCTTGCTTGATTTTTACCGTCTAAACCGCTATTCCACAGGATGCAGTAAACCAACACATTCCACTTTAGCTGAAAAAACAACCACACATACTTTGCAGCAGCTTTAAAGTCAGATCATGACCTATAGATAGGACATTTTAAAATTTTACCTATGTGTTTTAACTTCCTATATAAATCCCTGTGGCATTTTCAGCACACATATGTCCAAGGAAAATGACATATAAAGAATTCCCAAATAGCTCACCTTGAGACAAGAGGATGAGCCGTGTGACCTCATGATCACCTCTAGCCAGTGATTTATAAATCTCAAACTAAATGGAGTACAATCTTTAAAGGTTGCATGCCAATTATGGCCTGAGTATACCCTTTTCACATTACCTTTTCTAACTGGTATGTTATATACTCTATTTTACACTGAACTGCACTTACAAAAGAATCCATTTTCTCTTTGTTGGCTGAGCATTTATCCATAATGAGAGTAAATCCATGGTCAGCAACAGAAAGAATGCTTTTATGAAATTTGCAAAATCTAGATTGTTAAATTACATCTAGATATTTTATACGTCTAGATATTTTATACGTCTAGATATTTTCTGACCTATATTTAAAAAATAACTAGCCAAGCTGTATACTTTAATCTTTTGTTTTGTTTGCTTATTATTTCTTTTCTAGGGGGAATTGCCCAGTGTTCGCTCTAAGTTCCATGTCCTTTTTCTCCTCTTTGTGGCCTGCATGTTTTTTGTCAGCCTTGTGATTCTCTTTGGTTACCATTGTTGGCTTGTCAGCAGAAACAAAACTACCTTAGGTAAGACTGAATGTTACAGGAGAAAACATACTAATGTATATCAGATGATCTGTGGATTGTTCCCAAGAAAGACAAAAACTTCTAATGAAGCAGTTTAGCCAATGATGAACTGCCAATGATGTCACTTTGCCTCCAGACTTATGAAAGTACATTTTATCAAAATGGAGTGCCACACTGGATGACACTTATGGACTAAACAGAGCATTAGTAAATGAAGCTCTACCAAAAAAAAAATAACCATTGCTATTTGTAGTGCATGTTGGGTAATAATACCACAGATTGACAGCTCTGAAGATTTATAAATGAAGTGCCCATGAGGAATGAAGGCGAGAATCAGTACAGAAGAGAATATCAGAAGGAGGAGGTGGTCGATAAATATAGAAGAATCTAATTTATTGAGCTCATCAGAAAACAGAGTCCCAAGAAAGAATCCAATCAACAACAAGAATCCAACAGTCTTGAGACAGAATAAAGTTTTGAATATCTACCATAATCAAGTTGCTGTGTAGGGACTGTGGGAATAAACACGTTGATCAAGTGAGTCTCTAGAAAATGAGTACAAGGAATGAATTTATTTTCTGTCAGTTGCTCTATACTTGAAGCTTTGTTATTATATGGAGAATTTTATTTCTGATAGATTCCAGTATAAGATTTCTTTTCATCTATGGTGAAGCAGATATTTACATTATCTACAAACTACAAACATGGGGAGTAAAGAGAAAGTGTCCAAGTGTTGAATGTTTGGCTAGAAGAGATTTGAATAAAGTTTAGTGTAAAAGCCACTACACATTGGGATTTCAATTGTCGATAATGTTAACAGCTAAGAAAATATTTGACCCCGTTTTCTAAATCAAATATATATGTAGCACTTAGTTGCTAGGATGGTAAATTAGCACATTTGGCTTGGAAATCAGCTACAAAGTACAAAAGTACTAAAAGCTTCATGATAACAGAGTCTAAAAATGAAGAACACACAGGAAATGGTCAGAGGCAGCCTGAATCCAGCAGTGAAAATGTTTGCTTAATGGGATAAATGTGTGTCTAAAATAATGTGCACTCACATGGTACAATTCCTTATAGTCTTTGAGGTGATTATAGTTCACCCAGTGACATTTTATCTGGAGTACAACTCAGTTTCTTAAGTTACAGACTTCATTGTGAACATCTTCGTTTCTGAAATGTTTCAAAACCAAATCAGTGTCATTATCATCTCTTTATATGTCATTACTTTGGTCCTAGCTCTAAAGATGGGGACTATTTGGCTGTTGTTGCCACTTAGATTCAAATCAAATGCTGTTAAATCTATTCCCTCACTCTTTATTTTTTATTATTATTTTAAAGATTTATTTATTTATTTGAAAGTCAGAATTACAGGGAGAGACAGAGAGAAAAGACATATTCCATCCACTGGTTTACTCCCCAAATAGCTGCAACAGCCAAGGCTGGGCCAGGCTGAAGCCAGGAGCCAGGAGCTTCATCCGGGTCTCCCACGTGGGTGTAGGGGCCCAAGCACTTGGGCCACCTTCCACTGCTTTCCAAGGCCCATTAGCAGGGAGCTGGATCGGAAGTGGAGCAGCCAGGACTTGAACCGGCTCACATGTAGGATGCTGGCACTGCAGATGGTGGTTTAACCTGCTGTGCCACAGCACTGGCCTCTATTCCCTTACTCTTTAAATCCAGCAGTATAAAATACACATTACTCCCATGGCTGCTTAATTATTTCTACCATCATGTTTCCCCTGCCTTGTGGAAAATAAGAGCTGTGATTCTTTATTTTTAATAACAAGCTTACCTTGTAACTTATGACTAAACTTATGTTTACTAATAATAAGAGACCTATGCTACCAAAGAAAAAAGATAGCATAGGTAAATTCACATTCATAGAAAACTAAAAAGTCATAACTGTGCTGAAATCTATTCCTTTCTTTATCTTTTTTTCAACTCCCCTACCCTGTCCTAGAGGCCTTCTGCACTCCGGTGTTTACAAGTGGCCCAGAGAAAAATGGGTTCAACCTTGGCTTCATTAAGAATATCCAACAAGTGTTTGGAGATAACAAGAAGTTCTGGTTAATACCTATTGGGTCCAGGTAGGTAATTATTACCACTGAAACAAGTTGATGCTGGACCATGCCTTGAAGCAGCAAACTCTATTTCAATTGTAGTATGCAACAGGTGTCAGTCCAATGTGAAACACTCCATTCCCCAAGAAAATACTCAACATAATGGGAATTTATTACATATGTGTGTGTGCAATAAAGGGAGATGGCTACTATATTTTAAGTGAAAAATATAACACCAAAAATGGTATTTACACTAGTAGAAATTATGAACAAATATACAGAAGAAAATGATAAAAGAGAAATACATATAAAAATGCTAAAAGCAGTAAATTAATTTTTTATCCATTTTTATATTTTGGGATGAAATACTAATATTATTTGTGTGAAGGGAAAAATTAAAATAAAAAGCAAGAACAAAAGTTGAGTAAGAGATTGTAATTCTTAGAACTGCAACAGAATGCAGGGAAAGCAATGAACAAGAAATGAGCCAAAACAAGCTTGTGTCTTCTGAGTGCCTTCCAGAAGCAGACTTAACCATGATCAACTAGACTAGCTTGGGGAGCAGTTTGCAGCCTTCTTGCAGCCCCCTTAGATCCACTCTTTAGACAGGGACCATTCACTTTCCTTCTTTGAGGACATTTTGTTGAGGTGATAGTTAAGGAAAATTTTCTCTCTTCACTCATTGCCCAGATACTTCCTCTACACCAGTTAGTGTTTTACAGGCTTGGTTATTTGAGATGTGATATATCCTACTATCCTGACTATAAATCATAAGACAAAGCTGTGTCAGTGAGTAATGTTGATTAATAACTGTTACCAGCATGTTTGTGAAGATGATCTCGTTCACACACCACATACACGCACCATCAAAGGGAAATATGCAGTGATTTTTCTCTGGAATAAAGAACAAAAATAAAAATCAAAGCCCATTCAGTAATAATCAGTAAACTACCTTCTCTGTAGAGTACTATCAATAAAACCTATCAACTTTAAATTAATCACATTCATGAACAGGAGAAAAAGCATAAGGTAATAGCAAATGAATAATCTAAAATACTCAGATTTCAGTTTGTAGTGCATTAAGATAGACAGAAACAAATACTTAAATCGTAATCCACTCTAGTAAGGGCCAGCCAGAAATTAACCAGGGATGTGACACTTGCTCACTATAGATAGCCGCAAAGTGCATTACATGTGTGGATAATTGTCCCTGAAATCTGCATTCTTGAGTCACCTCACTCTGGCTCTTTCTCGTAGTTCCTAATAACCTTTCTTCCATAAAGCCAAATAAAAAATAACTGGATACCCACCCAGGCAATATCTGCCATTAATTCACAGCAATTTATCTCCACTGCATTCAATGATTCTGCTCAAATTTCTTGAAAAATTAGAACCAAAGCAGTAAAATAATGGGATATAAATTGGGATCATCATCATTAAGTAATATTTCTGAAGCCTGCTGTGTGTGCATATTATCCTACTGGGCTTTGTGGAAACCAAGTGCCTTACAAACAGAAACAGTCAATAATGATGCGGACAAACACCATATGGAAATTGAAAGCAATACAACAATGAAATGATACCATTACAAGGATCTTTTTTACCATGACTTTAGAAAATAAGCCTAAATATTCCTAAGAACCCATCCTGCTAAGTCTGAGAGGATTGTTGGGTTAAAAAAAAAGTCAACAGTTCACTCTCTTCCTTTCCCCACCAGCCCAGGTGATGGACACTCCTTCCCTATGAGGTCTATGAATGAGTCACAGAATCCACTGCTTGCAAATGAAGAGCCCTGGGAAGACAATGAGGATGACAACCGAGGTAAGTGGGTCCAGAGGAAGTCTTCATCACACATCAATCCAAGCACTATAAGGTCCATGTTAATACAGTCAATGTGATGTGGCGATAACATAGTGTCCACAAGGATTTTTATAATCATGCAAACCTTGTAAGTGCCCTCTGGGTGAAATAGGGCAAGGATGGCCAGATTTGTATAGCAAATGTGGATAGCTTGGGTAAGATAAGATGGCAGCTTGGGAGGTCCATAACCAATTTTGTGATACTATGATTTGTAACCAATCAGAGAAATCAAGAAACATAATAAACAGTGTTGTGCATGTTTGTAAACAGTCTTGCCTGGTAGTGCAGAGCTTTAGTTAATCCAATCAATATGCGGCAGTTCACTTCTACACTTTAATTGGTTTGGTTAAATTTTGTTTAACATGGTCTTCTCTTTTAGAATACTTTAAATCTATTAACACACTCATACGTGGAGTCTAAAAAAGGTGACCTCATAGAAAAGGATAGTGGTGGTTACCAGAGGTTTGGGAAGAAAGAGGGTGTAGGGAAGGATGAGGAAAAGTTGATTAATAGGTACTAAGTTGTAGCTGTATAAGAGTAAGACAGTCTGGGCTTCTCTTGAACAGTAGGATGACTACAGCTAATGTAGTGTATAATTCTCCATAAACAAAGAAAAGATAGGATTTTGGATGTTTTTACTGCCAAAAAATGTTAAATGCTTGAAGAGATAAATATGTTTACCCTGATCGGACATTATACAATGTATATGTGCACCAAAACATCACATAGTTCCCCATAAATATGTACAACTTGAGTATGTTAAATTTTTTGAATAAAAAATGAAAAATAATAAGAGGTAGTATATCAGGAGAAGCCTTCACATGCATATAGTCTCCTTTTCTAAAAGGCAGAAGGGCAACAGAAAATGAAGGAACTTTCTCCCACCATTTCATTAGATAATCTTGAGGCTTTTGTAGAGGGCTGAAAGTTCCATTCTCACATCATGTATCCCCATTGCCAGCGCTATGCTTTCACTCTACCTGTTGCTATGTCCACTTCTATGCCTCCAACATTTGCTTATCTTGCTAACCAACTGGCAGAAAGTAGTTTGTAGTTGCTGATCCCAATAAAGCAGTGGCTTTTGGCAATTTTGAGTAGAGACTTGAAATAGTTACCGCAAATTGCACCTCAGGTGAATGAGGCTGAATAAAAACATTGAAAGGCATAGAGGTAGAGAGTAGAGCCAGAAAGCCAGCCTTTCTAAATTTTTTTTAAACTTTTATTTAGTAAATATAATTTTCAAAAGTACAGTTTATGGATTACAATGGCTTTTTCCCCCCCATAACTTCCCTCCCACCCACACCCCTCCCATCTCCCGCTCCCTCTCCCGTTCCATTCGCATCAAGATTCATTTTCAATTATCTTTATATACAAAGATAGATTTATTATATATTAAGATTTCATCAGTTTGCACCCACACAAAACATAAAGTGTAAAATATTGTTTGAGTACTAGTTATAGCATTAATTCGCATTGGACAACACATTAAGGACAGAGATCCCACATGAGGAGTAAGTACACAGTGACTCCTGTTGTTGACATATCAATTTGACACTCTTGTTTATGGCGTCAGAAATCTCCCTAGGCTCTACTCATGAGTTGCCAAGGCTATGGAAGCCTCTTGAGTTCGCTGACTTCAATCTTATTTAGACAAGGTCATAATCAAAGTGGAAGTTCTCTCCTCCCTTCAGAGAAAGGTACCTCCTTCTTTGATGGCCCGTTCTTTCTACTGGGATCTCACTCGCAGAGATCTTTCATTTAGGTCCTCTTTTTTTTTTTCCACAGAGATCTTTCATTTAGGTTTTCTTTTTTTTTTCCCAGAGTGTCTTGGCTTTCCATGCCTAAAATACTCTCATGGGCTCTTCAGCCAGATCCAAGTGCCTTAAGGGCTGATTCTGAGGCCAGAGTGTTGTTTAGGACATCTGCCATTCTATGAGTCTGCTGGATATCCTACTTCCCATGTTATATAACATTAATACATTATATTATATAATCTATATATTATATAATATATTATATATAACATAATATATTATATACCATACATATGTTATAAAATATATTATATGATGTATATTATATTATATATTATAGCATAGTATAAAATATATAATATATCATAATCTATATAATATATAATGTATATAATGTACATATAATATATACACCATACAATATATAACACATAATATAAAACATATATCATATAATATAGAATTATAGAATATATGATATAAAATTATATTATATATAATATATAATATAATATATTATATTATATAATATAATATATAATATGATATAATATAATATATTATATATAATATATAATATAATATAATATGTTGTATAATATAATAATGTAATATAAACATTATATGTTAATATGTAACATATTATATATGATAATATTATACATTATATATGGG